TAGTAACAACCTAAGTAAACAGTCACTATTGAGTCAAATATACACTACAAGTTGTTACTGCTTGGTAGTTGTGTTTGATGGTTAAATTACATTTCAATAAACAGTCAGGAATCCTGGTGAAATCAAATGCCTGGGATATATCCACTGTATTGTTAGGAACAAATAATGGATAAATGGATTTTCTGTTTGCACTTTATGTTCACTGCAGGTATAGCAAACTTGTTCATAGATTATTCTATATTTTACTATGCCATACCGGTCTTTGAGCTGTTCCAAGTAAATAGTACAAACTTCTGGCAGAGTGAAAAGGCTAAGCGGGCAATAGAAATAGATCAGCCGCAGTGAAGTTTTGGGGTTTTTTAAGGTGCTGCAGAAGTGACAGGCTTTTTTAATGACTCCACTGTGCCACCCAGGCCCCCTGAGACCTTTCTTTATTACTTTAAGGTTTCGTGACTTCACAGCCGTCACTGTCCGCCTGACCAATGAGAGCGGGAGAAACAGATTCCGAACCCAATTGTAAAGCCGGGTGCTTCTGTGGCTGTAGAACTGCTCTCCTCACTAACACTGGACAGTTATGAAGAGGCAGGTGTTCAGGTAACCCCTGTTTCTTCTCCTGTTCCAGTGGTGTTTCAAGGGTCACTGCATCTGGAAGACTTCAGAACAACCTTACAGCCAGGATGGCAGCTGGAGTTCCTGGTCCAAATTTGGTTCCTGCTCCAGGACTTGTGGGGGTGGGGTGCGCTCTCGCAGCAGGAACTGCAACAACCCACCGTAAGTTTGGCTTTCGGGAAGACGAGGATGGAGGGAGACCATGTCCCCTATCCCTTCCATTTAGTAACAGTATGGATGTAAATCTGTTAATTGTTCCCTTCTCTCATGCATCTAAGAATGGAGATTTCAAGAAACATTCTTCTATAAGGATGACATTGTGAGAGGTTTTGCAACTTTAATGGTCTTCTGATATCTGATAAGAAGAGGTATTTCACCTGATCTTAGCCAAAAGGCTGAGACTTTGGGGACTTCTGGATGAAATATGATTGCTCAAAAGAAAATTGGTATATTTTGTGTAATAAGGGCCTTTGCACAACTAAAATACGTGTGCCAACTGCGACCGTACCTTGGGAAGGCAGATCTGGCCAAAGTGGTGCATGCCTTAGTCACCTCTAGACTGGATTACTGCA